TCATTTCTTTCTCCTTTTTCTGTATTCCCAATAGATGATTGATCTACATCATGACGAGTAGTGTGACTGCCATTATTTGCCAATTTTGCTGAGCATTGCTATTTGTGTTCTTTTCCACCTCATCTTGTCTTGTGTGTGTGCATTGTCCATCCTCTAGAGTACTACACGTATTGCTACAAATATTGCTGCTATTAACATCATTAGAACCAGGCTTTTCTTGATCAGTCGTTGTCACATCCCTCCTTGTATCAACTTCGCTCTTTGATGAGAGATTAAAATTACTTTGTTGGACTCCCTCCTTATTTGATTGTTGCATTATAACATGTTTTGACTTGTCTACCTCAGGATGATCTTGTTGTGCCTCTTCTGCCAGACAGTCAAAAGGATTACCAGTCATCACCACTGTTGTCCCCTTGGAATTTGTAGCCTGTTCACCATGTTTATCTCCAGTCCTATCCATGATGAAAGTCTTTTGAGTCGGACACCACCTTTTGACAAACCTTTTATAACTTTTCTGATTGTATCTCCCTTGTACCTGGTGCTGAGGTATTTCACCTTCCTCTTGATCCTTTTGTGCTTTCTCATGCTTTAATTCTGGATGGATAACTCTACATTCTCCTTCATTGTGTCCTAGCAGCATACAAGTGCGACAATATTTAGGCAGGAAATCATACTGGATCTTGATCTGCTCAATCCTTGCGGATCCTGGGCTGACTACTGCATTCTCCACCCACTCAGGAAGTTCGGCAAGAAGATCCACTTGAACCTTTACTCTCGCACAACTTGGACGAGTCTTGTTAATGGTTGCCGAGTCCAGCTGCACTGGCTTCCCCACAGCCGATGCTAGTGAGAACAAGGCTTCTTTACCATAAAAGGTGGGTAACAAATGTGGGAAAGAAATCCAGGCCATAGCTTGAGTGGTTTCCTCATCTGGTTTGAATTTGGTATCGTAAATTAGCGGGCGCATTTGAAATGCATATCCATCTTTATCAATAATGTAATAGGCATTTTTCGACATTATATTAACGAAATCATCCATTCTGTTTAATCGAATTAATATATGTCTATTCCTTAGAAAGCCAATAGTACATTCTCCTTTGATATGTAATTGTTTAGGAATTTGAACTCTCAGATCATCTAGTTCTGGCCAACCATATGAAAATTTTCCAATCACTGCAAATTGTAAATTTTCAGTCACATTCATTATGTCCACTTCCTCCTCCGTCCATGTGATTCTTGGTACACCCTCTACATATTGAATATGTTTAATTGGGATGGGATCTACCTCATTGGGTTGTTGATGCTTTGGACCTTTCAACAGATCCGCATATTGTACTTTCTCCGTAGGCAAACTATTTGGAATGTTAGGTAACTGTGCATTGATCTTAATGGCATTAGGATGTTGAAGAATTGGGAATAAAGAATCAGAGAGGGCCTGACCAGCAGTAGGTGGCTGGCCGCCGGCCATATTGGCCATTCCGGTAGCTATAAGTAAGATTTTAGGGTTTACGCATGAGAGAGAAGAGAGCTCAATCGCTTAAAAAAAAAGGGTTTGATTGTCAGGATTTAAGTCTGCGAAAAAGTCATATCCTAAGTTAGGGATATTATAGTAATTTAAAATTCAAGTTAGGAGTTCATGCTTTTAAGGTAATATATATATATATATATATATATATATATATATATATATATATATATATATAAGTCATCCAATTCAATTACACAAATATATATATATATATAAAGGTTCACTCGTTTACATTTTAGTTTTTCTTCCATTCATCTCCACGTTATACACAAATATAAATTTATCTACAATTATATTTCTGTTTTCCCCTTACATCTTCCCCTAATATTGAAGACTGAAGTGTTATGTTTTTCATCTTTCTATGAACAAATAATATTTTTACAATCTTTTTAAATGCTTTATTTTATATAGTTTTATATAAATTTGCCTGAGATATATGTGCAACGCAGCAAGTAATCAAACACACTGGTATGTGCATTATCATTATGTTATTTGCCATAGCTTCAACTCTTCGAATATTCTAGATTCCTCTTTGAAATACCTTTAATTAAGTAGATAAATGTTTTAACACTTCTTACGAGTTTTAACTGTTCTAAAGGGTCTGTTGGTCAGACTAAAATAACAAAAAAAATAAAAAATCAATGGATCATGTTGACATTCAATTCAAGATATGTTGGATTGGCTCTACTAATAGTAGATTTCTAAAATTAATTGACAAACAATACCATGTAGAATTTGAAACAACAAGTAGAAGGTACACATCTTGCGCAGTGAACTGCTTCAAGAAGACAATTTGATACATTTGGAGAGGATTTCTGATTCAACTTCTTCTATTCCACAAATCAAGAAAAATAAAGAGATATGTTTTCGATAGACTCCAAACATCTTTTGTTTATTAATGTCTAAAATACAGTAAGTCAGCAACAAAATAAATTAGCACTTAATAATTGAACTTAGCTTTGCACAGAACTCAGAAGCAACATATATATTTTTTTCTATTATTTTGGTGAAACCACTAGTTGATGCTGACTCTATACTCCACGTAAGAAAATAATAATTTCAATGCTTAAAAAGACAAATAAAGTTGATATAAATAATTATTCTACAATATCTCCTTTAGCATCTTTGTTTTGTAGCAAATATTTTATTAATCTTCCATCTGTGGTGCATTAGAGGAAAAGACAAGAAAAAGAATTGATAAGTCTTTCTTTATCATTGTTTATTAGTACCTACTTTTTTTCCTTCCACATGAAAAGAATTAAGTGCAATTAAAAGTGAAGAAAAGAACATTTAGTACTCAATTGAAAGAAACTATAGACAGAGTTTATCAATACTAGCTCTTTTTCTCTATATTTTTAACTAGTATGCTTTGAAGAGAAGAAAAAAAATTGCATAGTTAAAGTAATTATTGAAGATGAAAGAGATTATTGGAGGATGAATTTTTGACAAAAAAAAAATTGCTCATTTTGGTTAGAGTGTAGATCACAGGTATGCTCACTCACTTGCATCTCTAACCATTAATTAAAATTATTCGATACACATCTATTCTGATTAGGAGAAGATCATTATTCTTTAATAGTTGATTCTTTCTTTATTAACTATTATGATTAGGAGAAGATCATTCATTGTTCTTTATTAGCAGGTTTGATCATGTGTATACACATATTCATATTATATAATCACTTTCGACTTTCGAGTTAATCTTTTGTATGGTCACTTAATGATAATTCACTTCTTTTCTTTTCTTTTTGGTTATAATGATAGTTCACTTAGAAAGTCATTTTTCTTTTTAAACCAAACTAGTAACAGAGGGCAAAGTTAGACCATATTGCATAGCTCAGGAGCTCGTATTTACCCAAAAACATACAAATAATCTACCATCTTGCGCAGGCGTATTAGTGATATCTTTTAATTGATCTTTCATATCTTTCAATTTTCTCATGTTTGGTTGGGTTAAATGTTTTGGAAAATGTTTTCCAAATCAACTCATTTTCCTCAAATTTAAGGAAAATGACTTCCCTTCAAAACTTAAAGAAAACATTTTCCAAAACTCTCTTCCAACTTCCAATTAAAAAAAAAATTGTTGAAAAAATCAATTTATTTTGTCCCTACCCTCAAACCAGCCCTCCAACCAACCCCCCCAAAAAAATAAATTTAAGTTTGTTTTTAAAAATATTTTCAATTTCAAAATTTCATTTTTTCACCCCAACCCTCGACCCCCTACCAGCCCCCTCCCCCCAAAAAAAAAAATTTAAGTTTGTTTTTAAAAATATTTTCAATTTCAAAATTTCATTTTTTCACCCCAACCCTCGACCCCCTACCAGCCCCCTCCCCCAAAAAAAAAATTTAAGTTTATTTTTAAAAAATATCTTCAATTTCAAAATTTCATTTTTTCACCTTACCTTGACCCCCCCTCACGCACCTCCTACCCAGCCCCCCACCCACCCCACCCCTACCAGCCCCCTCCCCCAAAAGAAAAAATTTAAGTTTATTTTTAAAAAATATTTTCAACTTCAAAATTTTATTTTTTCACCCTACCCTTGACCCCCCCACCCACCTCCTACCCAGCCCCCCTACCAGCCCCCCACCCCCCAAAAAAAAATAAGTTTGTTTTTAAAAATATTTTCAATTTCAAAATTTCATTTTTTCACCCACCCACGCCCTACCAGCCCTCCCCCCCCCCCAAAAAAAAAATAAAAAATTTAAGTTTGTTTTTAAAAAATATTTTCAATTTCAAAATTTCATTTTTTTCACCCGTACCCTCGACCCCCCACCCCCCTACGACCCCCCCCCCCGGCCACCACCACCACCACCCCAAAAATAATTTTAAGTTTGTTTTTCAAAAATATTTTCAATTTCAAAATTTCATTTTTTTCACCCCACTCCACCCACCCACCCCCTACCAGCACCCTCCCCCCCCCCACCACCCCCAAAAAAAAATTTAAGTTTGTTTTTCAAAAATATTTTCAACTTCAAAATTTTATTTTTTCACCCCAACCCTCGACCCCCCCACCCACCCCCTACTAGCCCCCCACCCCACCCACCCCCTACCAGCCCCCATCCCCAAAAAAAAATTTAAGTTTGTTTTTAAAAAATATTTTCAACTTCAAAAATTCAATTTTTCACCCCTACCCTCAATCCACCCCCTACCACCCCCCACCCCACCCCCAAAAAAATTTAAATTTGTTTTAAAAAATATTTTTAATTTCAAAAATTATTTTCTACCCTAGTAAAAATAAAAGATATTTCTCAAAAAAAAACATAAATCAAACACTAAAAAATTTTTTCGGAAAATATTTTCTACTCACCAACCAAACATAAGAAAATAAGTCAAAAATCAACTTGTTTTCCAGGAAAACATTTTCCTTCATACCAAACACACCCTTAATATCTTTATCTTGTGTTTTATTCTGACTAGGAGAAGATCATTTATTTATCAACAATTAGAGGAAACTGAAAAAGTGGGAAGTCGATGGCTCAGGAGTGTCTCGCGGTGAGAGGTGCTATACACCGTCTGAAGGGCAGGCATTTAGATAGTTCCATAATTGACGAACTGGAAAATGCTAGATATCGACTAAAATGTGTGTCTCGATTTCTCGTGAAACTGGAGGAGGTTCACCCTGAGAACACGATATCTACACAACTAGGGACCTTATTTCAACAAGCTCATGATGGATTTTCTGAGATATGTACTCACATGGATCAACATTACACCATCAAAATGACAAAGGCGCTGAAAAAAATTAAGCTGGAGAACATTGCTGAGCGACTCAAAGCAGCTTCAAAGCCATCAACATCAACTAGAGGAATGATATCAGAGGTGCTGAAAATACTTAAACCCGAGAATATTGCTGAAAGAATGAAAGCTTCAAAGCCATCAGCATCATCTAGCCGAATCACTACTATGGAGATGGTGAGGTTTGTCGATTTTTTGCTTGATTATGTAAAGGATTGTGCCCCTGTGAAGCTGCGATATCTACACGCTTTCTTCATATTAACTTCAAGTCGGTGCATTGAGCATGAGAGTATGCAGTATTTCTTCATCCATATTCAGAATGTAGCTTATACTGCACTACAACTACATTTCAAATCGATGGGCGGATATACAGATTTGCGCTATGAGTTGTACAGTTTGATAAGTTCTTTCAGTCCTGATTTGAGGCAGATATATAAGAACCTCTTGACAGCGTTAAAATCATCAAGATCAGAGACTACATTGAAGCCCGGATGTATGCTTGATTTTGTTAATGCTCTACAAGAGTATCCTGAGGTGAATCGACACCGTGGTAAAATTCGGGGGCTCAAAGAAGGACTTCTTAACAGTTTTCAATTACTAAAGTGCATAGAATATGGAGGCACTCAACTCAGAATATTCAGTTCTCTTCAGTCACTTATTGAAGCTCTGGCCTTTGAGGCAGCAGCATTAGTGATCAACTCCTATGATGAGGATCTTCTTTTTGTTTTGCAGCCGAAGCTTAATCATGTCAATGTAGTAATCGAACTGATTCAACTACGAAACAGTCAAGAAACCTTTCTCCTGAGAGCTGATAGTCTTCAACTGATTGACTATGCTTTGGAAGAGCTGATAGTCGTGACAAATTTTCTCATGGATTCATTGGAGCAGTGCAAACAGCAACCTAAGATAACTGATCTTTTAACTCTTATCCAATCTGTGACTAACGAAGCATGTTCAGCTGTTAATAATCTTTTATGTTATGCAAGACGAGAAGACTTGGTCTGGGAAATGAATCGCTCACATTTTCAATTGCTTCTTAAGTTCAACTTTATTAAGGCAGCAATTAGACAGATGTGTTCCACCATTTGTGCTTCATCAACTGAGATACATCTGCTGAACTTTCTTCCTATTAATTTTGAGGTCATTGGTTCTTACTTAAATTCCTCAAAGAAATCATCCTCTGGTCACCACAACATGGATTTACTTATGATGGGGTTTCATGAATATATTATTGACAATCTGCTACTGAAGCATGAAACTGATTTGTCATTTACAGTTGCAGATGATGTTAAAAAGTGGTTTCATGAATATATTATTGACAATCTGCTACTGAAGCATGAAACTGATTTGTCATTTACAGTTGCAGATGATGTTAAAAAGTTCTACGATGGATTGTTGCTCCTGTTAACATATCTTCTTGATCCTCTATCTCAGAGCAGTGGATTTGGAACTATTGCAATTGAGGCCGAATCTGTGAATAGCAACAAAAGCAATCTAGTTCTTCAGTTTTTGACTGTGGCTTTCAAGCTTATCGAATGTGAGAGAAGCTTGATGGATCTACAGAAGCACAAAGCCACTTTGGAAGCTCACATTCTGGATCTGATTAAAAGTTCTCATGAAGAGCTTATTTATCTTAGACTTCTTCTCATAGATGTTCTCAGGAAACACACAGTCCTTAATGAATTCCATAATGTCTTAATGCATGCTGAAGTGACTGCCAACAAGATAGCACAAATCATCAAGGGAAGAAGCACTGAGGAAATTGGGCTTTTATTATCTGAGATTGAGTCTGTCAAGGTAGAGGTCAGAAAAGTATGCCTTCAATTTCTGGATGCATCACCTTACAACATGACGGATGGCGAAGACCTTATTAGATTCTTATTGAAACACCAGGACTGGCTGCTCAACTTTGATGCTTGTTCAATTCCTTTTCTGAAGAACCAGATCCCAGTAATCAAAGACAAACTATTTTATTTGGGTTCTTTTATTGCAGATATTGTACAGCATCGTGATATGCATCAAGAGCTCAAAGATCTTGTGAAACATGTTCAAGATATAAAGTTTGTCTGTCTCTTTCCCATCAGGGATTCTGCACCTTCTTGGTGCTACAGGCTATATCTCTCTGATGTCAAGCAATTGCTTAAGTTTGTCGAGACAGAGGTCGAAATGATTTGTCTCAAAGTTCCAGATTCTTCAAGTCATAGCTTCCCCAAGATAAATGAACTAGGATTTCTCTATTGTTTCTTGGGAAAATTGGATGAGATTCTAAGTTCTAAGATCGATTCAGTTATTGACTTAAAACTTCAAATTGGGTTAGTGAAGGAGGGTTTATTGTGTCTAAGAACATTGACTGATCATTTCCCAAAAATCAATGATGAGCATGATGAAGTTTATAGTCTTATAACAAGAGTTACTGCAATGGCATACGAGGCAGAGTATGTCATGGACTCGTGCTTGACCTATTCTTATCCACTCTGGTACAAAGTTCTTTGGATTTCTGAAGCTGTTGAGAATATTAAGCTTGTAAATGAAGTTGTTAGAGAAACATGTGAAAGAAAGAAGATAGATGCGACAGTGCACAAAGTTAAAAAGACCTCAACTTATCGTGTGCCGTCTTTATCAACTAATACTCCAGGATCATCAAATGAAGATATGGGAAGTTTCCAGGAGGCGATGGACCAAATGAAGAAGCAGCTACTTGGAGGTTCGCGTCAGCTAGATGTCATCTCATTGGTCGGCATGCCGGGAATTGGTAAGACTACTCTTGCCGAGAAGATTTACAATGATCCAGTAATTACCTCTCACTTTGATGTCCGTGCTCAGTGTCGCGTGACTCAAGTATATTCACGGCGAGATTTGTTGCTTGCCATTTTGAATGGTGTGCTTGAGCCTATTGATCGCAATGAAAAAGATGATGGTGAATTAGCTGATGAACTGCGTCGATTCTTGTTGACCAAGAGATTCTTAATCCTCATTGATGATGTATGGGATGATAAAGTGTGGGACAATCTACATATGTGCTTAGAAAATGATCGGAATGGGAGTAGAATTATTCTAACAACCCGTCTGAGTAACGTTGCCAATTATGCTAAATGTGAAAGTGAACCTCATCATCTTCGCTTGTTCAAAGATGATGAGAGTTGGACATTATTACAGCAAGAGTTGTTTCAAGGAAAGAGCTGTCCGCCTGAAATTGATGATGTGGGGTTTCGAATAGCCAAAAAATGTGGAGGGTTGCCTCTCTTCATTGTATTAGTTGCTGGTGTTCTCAAAGAGAAAAATATAAAAGCAGAATTGTGGAAGGAAATAGAAGAAAGTCTAGGTTTGCTGAATATTGGTAGCTTGGAAGAGAGCATGTCTATAATTGGATTCAGTTATAGGAATTTACCACAACAGCTGAAGTCTTGTTTTCTCTATTTTGGAGGACTTTTAAAGGGGAAGGATATTCATGTCTCAAAGTTGACTCGGTTGTGGGTAGCTGAGGGTTTTGTACAAGCAAATGAAAAAAACGGACTAGAAGATGCTGCAGAATGTCTCTTGGAAGATCTTATTAGTAGAAATTTAGTCATGGGCATAGAGAAGAGACCCAATGGAAAGCTCAAAACATGTCGTGTTCATGATCTGTTGCATAAGTTCTGCTTGGAGAAGTCCAAACAGGAGAATTTCCTTCTTCAGATCAATGGGTAAAAAAACTATACTGATTTTATCATATTATTGTTTATATCAACTCTTATTTTCATTATTTTCTCTTTGAACAGATTCACTGGAGAGGATACATTTCCTGAAGTGTCTCTGGAATACCGGTTGTTTGTTCATTCTTCTGAGGATCATATTGATCTGTGGCAGCCATCTCACTCAAATGTTCGCTCTTTGTTGTTCAATGTTATTGATTCAGATAACTCATTCTTTCCGCATAATAGCTCGTTCATCTTTGACAGATTCAAACTTGTTAAGGTGTTGGATTTGGAATCCGTCAACATTGGTGGTACTTTTCCTAGTGAAATACAATTTCTAATTCATTTGAAGTATTTTGCTGCTAAAACTGGTGGAAATTCAATTCCTTCATGTATAGCTAATCTTTGGAATCTCGAAACTTTTGTGATAAGAGGATTGGGAGGAGAGGTGATACTACCTAGTTCACTTCTAAAGATGGTTAAAATAAGGAATATACATGTAACTCATCGTGCTTCATTTAGTTTGCATGAGAATATGGGTGAATCACTTGCGGACTCTCAATTAGATAATTTGGAAACCTTTTCCACTCCACATTTCTCTCACGGTCAAGATACAGTGATGATATTGAGAAAGATGCCAAAATTGAGAAAGCTGAGTTGCGTATTTTCGGGGACATTTGGCTATTCAGAGAAAGTGGAGGGAAGGTGTGTTCTCTATCCCAGATTAGAGTTTCTATGTCAGCTTGAATCCCTTAAGGTTGTCTCCAACAGCTATCCAGGTAAACTTCCACATGTCTTCAGTTTTCCCTCAAGACTTGGGGAATTGACTCTGTCAAAGTTTCGTCTACCATGGAGCCAAATCTTGAGTATTGGAGAACTTCCTAACTTGAAGATTCTAAAGTTACTTCTCAGAGCCTTTGAAGGGAAAGAATGGGAAGTGAAAGATTCAGAGTTCCGTGAACTCAAATACTTAGAATTGGAGGACCTCAACATTGCACAGTGGTCTGTCTCTGAGGATTCTTTTCCTATGCTTGAACGTTTGGTTTTAACCAAATGTAAGCGGCTTGAGGAAATCCCTTCTCATTTTGATGATGCTTTATCACTAAAAAGCATTGAAGTAAAGTGGTGCAATTTGGATGTTGCTAATTCAGCCAAGGAAATTCTAGCATTTCGGCATGATGAAATGTCAAATGATGCGTTCAAAGTTACAATACAGCCTCCAGATTGGGATAGAAATTCATCTCCTTGACTCATTATCTGGTATGCTCTTGTCATGTTCATTTTTATTTTTAAACCACATCATGCTTTTTCCAATTACTTGAATCTGAGTTCCTTTCTCAGTGAATGTTTCATTCAGGCTTGCAAACAAAAGATGGAGGAGGACCTCAGCTAGTTGACGGATCTTCAGCAATAAGTATTTGAATTAATTTCAATTCTTAGTGGTTTGTGTGAAACTTGTAATGAATTTATGAGCAAGAGCTACATTTTTTCTTAATCAGTATATTGAAAACTTGTCCTCTCGGCACGTTAAAGGCTTATTTGTCGAGGTCAAGATGATTGAACATATATCGTGTGTACCTACAAAGATGAACCATCAAAGTTTGATTAGATGTACAAGTGTTCTTTTTATTTATGAGGTACAAGCATGTGCATGGATAAAAAAACATCTAGTTTTTCTCTCATTTCAAGCTATGTTTTGTTATCTCCTGTATTCAGATTAGCAAACCAGAAATAATAAAAGAAGAAAAGAAAAACACAAAGAACTATCTGAGTCCACAGAACCCACTGTGTGTCCTTAAGAAATTTAATCCCCTCAAGTACCCGAGGTTGCAGATTAATTCCTCCCAAGATAAAACGGATTAATCATTAAAGAAGTAGTGGTACCTCAAACTTCTATAATTTCAACGAACTCAAAATGACAGCAACGAATCACACACACAGACAATCGATCGATTTTATTTTGTAAGAAATGTATGCAAAAGAAGGGAAGAATTCGATACAGAAAAATGAGAGAAAACCTCTCTATTTATAGCCAACAAAGGGTAGAGGTCACAACCCTTTGGAAAGAAGACAACCTTTCAGAAAGGTCACAACACTTTGGAAAAGGCATAACCTTTCAAACGGTCAAAATCCTTTAGAAAGGACACAACCTTTCATAAAGTTCACAACCCTTCGGCATAGTCACAACTCTTCAGGAGAGTTACAACCCTTCATTTCCTGTTCACACCTTTAAAACCCAACAATCCCCCACATGAATAGGAAATGGCTATTGTTAAAACATATGCATGAAAAACTGTGTGATTCATAATTAAGGATTGATTGCCTCTGGATAAGTGGGTTTCCCTTTGAACTTTCCGTAGTGAACATATATCGGATATACTCAGTCAATCGGTAGATTTGATATCTTTGAACCGTCGAGCTTTGGTGTATACCTAGAGAACATAAGTCACACAATCAACCCTTGAACTGTTTTTGGTTCTCATTGTTTTGTTCGTTTCAGCCATGAACACGTCTCGGTTTATAAGTGCGTAGAGAACTGGCCTTACCGGATTCTCCTTGAAGCGGCTTACACTTCACACTTACATAGGTGATTTCTAAATGTGTTATCCCGTAGATACACCATTTGATATACCTTGTATCAAACTTAGAAATCATTAAAAAGTCCTAATGCCTTTATCTTTGTTACTGAACATTGTCTTATCATGAGAATGGACCATAAAAAAAAAATTGACAATGTTGAACCGTCATCAATGACTTTGTTTGATCTCCTTGAACCTAGATCTTGGGATCTCCAGTCTTCTAGGTAGAGTTACCGCCACAATGACTTGTTCTCGGCCATAGTACCATTCCCTTTGATAATCTATCAACTCCCTCTCTAGTTAGGCCTTTTATAAGTGGATCCGACACATTATCCTTTGACTTTCCATAGTCAATTATGATAATTCCACTAGAGAGTAGTTCTCTAACGATATTATGTCTATGTCATATATGACGAGACTTTCCGTTATACATCATGCTACATGCCCTACCTATTGCAAATTAACTCTCACTGTGTATGCATACTGGAGCTAAAAGGTTTGGGCCTAAAATCTTTCAAGAAATTTTGGAGTCCTTTAACTTCTTTACCGGCCTTATCTAGAGTGATAAACTCAGATTTCACAGTAGAGCGAGCGATACATCTCTGTTTGGAAGATTTCCAAGAGACTGCTCCTCCACCAAGAGTAAATACATATCCACTCGTGGATTTTACTTCATTTGACCTGCTGATTCAATTTGCATCACTATATTCTTCCAATACTATTGAATATTAGTTATAATTAAGGCTGGCAACGGAACCGGGAGGTCCGGTACCGGTTTCGGTCCGTTCCAGTCCGTTACCGGTTCCGTCTCGGTTTTGGATATTACCGGTTTGATCCGGTATTATACCGGTCCGGGAGGGGTAACGGGACGGAAACCGGGATTTACCGGTCCGTCCCGGTCCGGTTAGTCCCGGTTCCTTTGTCACGCCCCGAGCCTACACCCTGGGCGGGACCGGCACCCGGAGACCATTTCTAGCCCCAAGCGAACCCTTGGCCTGGCTTTCTTAACTCAGCGGAAACCTCAACAGAATAACTCAATGCAATGCAATATTACAAAACAACTTAACTTATAAAATATGGCCATAAAGGCAACTCGAATCTCAAAATAGAATATTTACATATATATATAGATGAGAGACTCAAAACTAACTGACTGACTGTCTGTCTATGAAGCCTCTAAAATACTGAGATGGATGTTGGGACAGACCCCGCAACATCCTAATAAAACAAAAACTAAGAACACAAAATAATTGAGTCCTCCGGAATGCAAGGAGGCTCACCACTGACTCTGGAGTGCTCAGCTGGATCAACGACGTGCAGGATGCTGATCCGGGGTACCTGAATCTGCATCATCAAACGATGCAGGCCAACTGGCATCAGTACATGGAATGTACGAGTATGCAAGCTGGAAAACTAAGCAACAAAGGCTAGAAGGAAAACTGGAAGAAACTGAATAGCTTACCTGGCTCAACTTAACTCAACCTGACTGACTTCTTTCAATATAAGGCAATTTAAAACAAGTGCGATATAAAGAAAGATTGCTTAAAACATGCTATGAACTCTGTGTGTATACAAGGATACAATAAGCCTGAAATGTGTATAAAAATACAATGAACTGATGTATATAAAAATACAATAATCTCTGTGTATGAAAAATACAATAACTGCTGTGGGAGTTTCTCTAACCGACAACCATCACATAAGAGCTATAGTGATGATACAGCGATCGACCTCACGCTGCCAGAGCATCTTATACCCGGCCAAAGGTATAAGACCTGAACTGCCTAATGGATCCACTAGTCTAATCTGAAAAGGATTCATCTAAAAAGTATGATCCTTTTCTACCCATGGTGGCTAACATGGTTCTATGGGGGCTGTGGGTTCTTTGAACGCTCCCCCAATTCGGTGCTCGATACTACTCCCAAAAATGTACTGGCTCTTATGTTTTTAAAACATATTTCTTCCTGCTGATATGAGATAATTACTCAAAAACTAGCCCGAAGGCTTTTTGGAAATCTCAGTTTCCAACCTTGTTTAAATGTAAAAACATTTCTTTAAAACTTCTTTGGGAATACATAGTTCCCTAATAACTTTGAGAAAAGAACTCAACTTTAAACTCTTTACTTTACTTGAACTCTTGGCTTGATGTGAAACTCTTAACTTTTGACTTGACTTGAAACTCAATACTTAACTTGGAACTTGAGCCTTAGAATGAAGTTAAAACGCTCAATGAAGACTCTTGGAAAACCTTAAAGACTTGCTTTGACTTACTTACTTCTAAGCTTGACTTCACTTGACTTGGAAACTAACTTCACTTGAATTGGAAACTAACTTCACTTGACTTGTAGTTTTACTTGACTTTTGGAAGTACCTTGGAGTGTTGGAAACAACTAGGAAACATAGGTATAATACCTAGGAACATGTATAAAAAAAGAAATGGTGAATGAAAGGGAAGGATTGGTGTCCTTGGCACTAGGAGAGGTGCAACAGCCCAGCCCCTTTTTCCCCAAAAATTCGACTTTTTCCCCTTGTTTCTTTCCAATTCTAAACCCTCTCAACCTCAAGGTTTCAGCAGCAACACTTAGAATCATAAAGACCCTTATTATACAATAGATTCAACTCAAAAATCACAGCCAGAAATCTGTACTAAATCAGCAAGAACTTCAACACAACACCACTACAACTTCAACAACCAATAAATCTTCTCTTGGAATTAAAAACGAGTTGGTGTGTGGGGGTATGAACCAACCAACACTAAGGATCATAAAATCCCTCAATATACAATAGGTCACAACTCAAATACACAGCCCAATCCTGTCCCACAACCAACAATAACTTCAACAACACAACTAACAACATCAACAACAACTAACAACTTCAACAACTTCAACAACAAATCCAATCTCTTCTCAAATCATAAAAACGAGCTTGGTATGTGGGGGGAAAGGATAAACCCACACTAAAGACTCACATACCTTGATAGGGATCACCCCCGACGAAAATCCACAATGATCTTGAAAAATCTTGTTGATCTCCTCTTTCTTCTCTTCTTCTTCTCCTTCTTCTCTTCTTCTTCTCTTGAACCCTAACTCTTTCTCTTTCAAAATGGGACAAAATGATCCAAATATCAGCCTAATACAACAATATAAGCTCAAAATAAATTATTTGTGAAAAGACCAAAATGCCCTTAAATTTCCGGAACGGAATCCCTGCCAACTGCCCAACTTTCAAAGATCATAACTCGCTCATACGAACTCGGAATCGAGCAAACTCAGTGGCGTTGGAAAGATCGTTCCACAAGCTTCGAAACCATAACTGGAAATACTCCTAAATCATCCTGATATAGGAGTTATGACTGCTCAAAGTTGGCTAAAAACTCACTGATTTCCACACTTGGCCAAATTTTCCAGATTTTAATTTTTTCCAAAAATGACTATTTCCAAATTTCAAGCTTCTTCATATTCATTTTTAAATTGTCGGATGTTACATCCTTCCCGGTTCCAGTCCGGTTCGGAACATTTTTTTATTTTTTTTTAAATCTGAAATTTTAAATTTTATAGCCGTTGAGAGCCGTTGGGCAACGGGTTTTGGGCCCCACCTACGGGTCTTTCACCCCCATAACCCCATTTTACACCTCCCTACCCCCCAAACTTTTTTTAATACCCCAAACTTCTTAAAACTACATTTTCATCCTTTTTTTTAACTATAAATACCCCTAATCTTTCATTCTTTTTACTCACAAAAATATCTTCTAATCTCTCTACTCTCTACTCTCTAAATTCTCTTATTCTCGTTAAAATTACGAATTTGATCTT